TTCCTTATCATCCATCGGCTCAACTTGAAACCCCTTCTGTATGAAACCACCATCATGTCGTCAAAGCGCGGCGAAGCAATGTAATCCGCAATGACTTTCACCTTCGCCTCCTCGACGGCCTGAGAAAAGATCTGAGTCTTCTCCCTAATATCTTCCTGAAGGTACTCGACCTGATGCTCCAGGTCCAACTTCAGGTCGGCCATATATCTCACCACCATTCCTAAGGCCTCTTTGTCCCTCTRAGACCTCGATAGCGCGGTCCGCGTAGCACGGGAAGCCGCTTCGGCAGCTTCTGTTCACTTCAAGCCCCTCTCCGCCTGAATGGCCAAGGCATGAATAGAGGAGTTCACCTGCCAGAACGAGGACAAATCAGCTCGGTAAAAAAAAAAAACACTACCCCGACTTACCACCATGGCGTGAGTTGCGACACGAGCGCCTTTGAGATTTGTAGGAAGATCGGCCCACTATGCGACCTCCTCAGGGCAAATGGCCTTCTTTCTTTTTCGGAGAGCGTAGCTCGGCGTCAGCACGCTCCCAACCTCCTCGTGACTTCCCGAGCCCAAAGGCACAGCCCAGGTATAGGCAGTGTCGGCATAGGGAGCCCCGGCATAGGGAGCCTCTGCCGCTTCCCGAATTGAAGGGGGCACCTCGGGCTCCCCAGGAGGCTCCATTCTCGGTGCCTCGGGCTCCGCAACCCGGGAGGGATCAGCGCAGACCCGCTTAGCAACTCGCTTCCTTCTCTTCATGCCAGCGAACAAGTTCGCACCTCGAGTCTTCTCTACCTCCATAACACCTGCAAAAAGGAGCTCGACGTCAGAAGACGGGAATAAAAGCAAAAGCAAGTATCTTCGTCTGAGCAAGAAACCTACCCGAACTCAGACCGGCCTGAATAAGCTTGTCCTCCGTCAGGTAGACTTCGCATTTGAGCCCTTGCCGGGCCCAGTCCTGGAGGCCCTTCACCGTGTCTTTGTCTAATGCTGCACCGGGGTCAGGAGCGGCCAAACCCCACTCAGTAGGAAACGACCACCCCGTAGCACTTCGAACCACGAAGTAGTCCCACTTCCATGCCGGGACCTTGTTTGGAAGGTTGTGTAAGAGCTTAAAGCTCGGGCGAGGTGACAAGTAGTACGCTCTCCTACGCCCGGGCAGGGGACCCGCCTGTTTTTTGAGCATGAGGATAGCTGAAAAGACTTCCAAGTCTAAAGGAAGGCAATGTTCGCAGCACAGAGAGATAGTCCCAACAAGGTTACGAACAGAGTTCGGGTGAAACTGACTTATAGTAACGCCGAAGTGGTTCATGACTTCGACGATAAGAGGATGAAAGGGAAGGCGCAGCCCGTCAACAAGCTGCTTCCAGAATATCACGATCTCATCCAGACCGTGCTCCCAAGGAAAGTCGCCCGAAGGTACGAAGTAAGTATACTCCCCGGGCAGGTTGTACTGGACAATAAGGAACCAAAACCTTTCGAGCGTCATAGTGGAAGGTCCGAACTTATCTGGAAACCGACCTCGGCGGGAGGTGGATGCCAAACTACTCGAGGTGACTCGGTATACGGGCTCGAACTCGAGCTCTTCCTCGAGCTCTACATCGAGCCCCGCCTCAGACTCACTAAGGCTGTCAGGGGCAGCAGCTCAGTTCGTAGAACCAGCATCGGAACCCCCCAGGAGACTACATAAACTACCCGAGCTAGACATCGAAACAAAGAGGGCTGAGGACTCACCAGGAAAAGCTACCGGACTGCGAACGAGTGACACGAGCTCAAGGAACAAACGCTGAAGGATAACAGAGGAAAATGACTAAGGGTCCCCCCACTATTTAAAGCCACTGGACCCGCGCATCAACGACCAAGATCGAAACCATCCAATGGCTCCCTGCAAAGTCAGCTACGCACTCCCCAAAGAAAAGACACTCTGGCGCGCACGTTCGAAAAATTTGAAATTGTTTGGTGCGCACGTTCAAAAGTTTGAAAATTTGAAATCATTTGCGCGCGTGAGCTACACACAGACCAGGACTGACCCCTGGTCAAACCAAGCCAACCCCGGTTGGGCTAGGAACACAAGCGGGTCAGACCAGAGAAGTCCCAGACTGAGGCCAGAGTGTCCCAAGGCAAATCCACCTGTCATCCTGTGAACTCCCCATGCCGGGTCAAGACCCCGAGCATGGGGAGTGGGGGGCAATTGATGGAGGAAGATTTGACCCGACCCCTTAGCCATACGACACGTGGAAGCAACCAAGAGTGACCTGGCAGAAGCGCCAGCTCGGCACGACAGCGGGCCCCACAACTCGAGCTCCGAGCAAAAAGTCAGCTCCCCCAAAGGGGAACCTACAACCCGAGCTCGAGCTGAAGAGCCCCGAGCTCCCCAAGGAGGAACCCGAGCTCTCCCTTCAAGGTCTTGAACCTTACAAAAAGCACAAAAGGCAAAGACCCGAACTGCCCACCCAAGGGCAG